TAATAAACTTTATTTCATTTTTATAAATATATATATATTTTTTTTTTTCATTATGATATTTGAATATCAATATTCAGTCCTAACACAACCTATAGTCGACTCCATGTAGTGATGTCAATCTTTTCTAGTTTCTCAAATGCAGAGGTCTTACTATCTTGCTCTTGCAGTATTTTTTCTTCCTCTCATATGCTTTTCTTCTCTTTTTCCCTCTACATGGACGTTCCACCACGAAAAAAATGCTATTGTGCACTGCCCGTGCCCCCACCCAACATATTTCCCCACTCAAAATAGTGGCTTCATCAGGGGACAGTGTTATAAGGTGCCCAGTGCCTGTGCCCTCAAACTAAACCACTTTAGTTTGAATGCACTGGCTCTGAGCACCTTCTATTGGTAATGGTGTATTGGTGCTGTCAGTACAGCATGATGTGAGTTTAATTTTACCATCTTGTGTTTCATAACAAAGGATGCCTACACTATTATTATATTGCACTGCTTTTTGTATTTTAAGCAAACTGTTTCTGGGCTAATGTCTATGTGAGAGGATACAGTGAGGATCCATTAGAATCTGTTGCATAAGTGCTGATCTTTTTATACTTTAAGGTCACATCTTTTCTGAGGAGTTACCTCAAGGAAGGGAGAAGCACACTGATGTCTGGATTTTACCATCACTACCGGTATCACTGTGATTGATATTGGCACATATTATCTGATTTAAATCTATTGGTCACGCAAGTTTTCATTTAATCGATTGGACTATTCACCGCTGAAGAATTATAAGTAGACAAACTTATAATTGTTTTGCATGTTTATGCAATGATTGTGTCTTGTTTTTCATTTATCAATTTTGATACTATTCTTATTTATTTATTTATGTTGTAACATTGGTGTATGTTTACACCATTAAAGCATTATGCTTTAATGATGCAGCTGTAGATCCATCATCAATTATGATGTACAATTCCCTGACAACCTATGACACATGTACGAACACCTGAGCCATGATGACCCTCTCCCATGACAGCACTCCCGTCACAAATAACAGCTTCCCGGCCAGCAGCTGTATGTCAAACCGGCTGGGATGCTGGCTGACATCACGGACCAACTGTGGGTGTCACCATATATGGTTATTGACATCACCTAGGATGCCCTTAACCTTTTTTACAATGTTAAACAGACTGACAGGGAGCAGGATTGTTGTGTTCTAGGACACTAGAAGCCACCTCCCCATTACAGTCAATGTTGCTATGTGGCCTGGCCACCTGCATCCTAACAACCAAGACTATGTGACCTGTAGAGCCTCATGTATTCTTAACACCCTGGGCTGCTGGAGGAAAACTGTTTCATCTTCTTTAATTCGCTCCAGACAGCATCTTAGTTTTATGGGAGTGTTGGTAATTACCAGTAATATCAGACAAGTGATGAGCATGCTCACATCTCTCATAGGAAGATACCACAAATAAATAATGAAAAATGTGCTTGGACATGAAAGAAAAGGTAATCTACATTTCTTCCCAAGACTGCTGATTTTCTTCTAACACTGCCTTCTTTTTTTTAGAACTCAAAATGGCAGTTTTCATGTGACGGGAAAAACAAAATAGAAAAGCTGGAGCAGGAATCAAAAAAGAAAAAGGAAGGTGAACTGAAAGCAATTTCAAAAATTTTAGATGAGGTATATTCACACTTTGCCTCTTTCCTTTTGTATTTGCCTTTGTGTATATAAAGTATGGGGTTTACATATTAAAAAATCACATAGCCATTCTCCCAGCAAAACTGCATGTACATTTATGCTGTGCGAATTAACCAACATTTGCTCATTAGTTGTAGGGATTTTTCACACAGTGTAAAAAGCTGTGGATGTTGTGCAAGTGGGTCAAAATTAAATGTTCTTAAGGCATTTTCTCCTTGGGTGGGTACAAGAGCAAGCCTGCTATTGGTTATTGCAATTTGAAATGACCAATGGCAGCCTAGCTATCCATTCCCCTGCTAGCTGGCCGCTGTCAAAATAAAAAAAAAACAGAGAAGGTACCTCCCTGAAATGAGAACGTACCTACCTGAAATGAGAAGGGCACCTCCCTGAAATAAGGTTTTGCAGGTTGGGATGTCTGATATATATATATATATATATACACATACACAGATAGTGCCTGTTTCAGCAGAGAAAGGTGTCTGGACATGTGTGAAACTGAGTGAAGACAGGTGGATGTTGCCCACAAAGAAGTACATTCTCTAGTCAGCCATTGCCCCTACATGCTGCGAGACCAGCTTGAAGCCTGACATATGGGAACTGGTTATCCAGGCTTGTCTGGCCCTGACCTACAAAGACAGGTGGCTGAGCCAGAATGGCATCTGAGATTATTGGAAGTTGTGAAGGGACAAAGGTAGTCTCTGTCTAAACAGACTGATCTGTCTGAAGTAAACAAGTAGCAGTCTGTGATCAGACAACAGGTCTGGTCTGGTGACTGTTGTAAATAGTCCAGCAGAAAGGCTGAGCCAGCTTTGTCTTATGAAGAAATAGATGAAGCTGTGTGACAAAATAACCAGGAATATGAAAGACACTTATGTTTGTTGTTAGGTTAAAGTCTCTGCTGTGTATGTATGTATATATAACAGCTAAAATCTTGAAGACATCACTGGCACAGTGGCAAACATCCCTTTTCATGAGTCTACCATACGTAAGTCTTTGAACAGGCAGGGTGTCCATGGCAGAACACCACGGAGGAAGCCGCTGATCTCAAAAAGAAACATTGCTGTGCTCCTGAAGTTTGTCAAAGAGCACCTTGAAAAAACCCGCAATGCTGCTGGGAAAATGTGTTGTGAAATGATGAAACAAAAGTTGAATTGTTTGGGAAGGATGCTCAGCACTATGTATGGTGCAATAGGGGCAAAGCTTAACAACATCAAAACATGATCATGTGGAATATCATGATGTGGCCTTGCTTCACTGCCTCACGGCCTGGCCATCATCAAGGGGAAAATTAATTCCCAAGTTTACCAAAATATCCTACAGCTTAGTAGAAGTTGGGTGATGCAGGAGGACAATGGCCCTAAGCATCAAAGTAAATCCACCACAGACTGGCTTCTTCAGAAAAAAAAAAGCCCAGTCAGAACCCACACCTTAACCTCAAAGAGATGCTGTAGAATGACCTCAAGAGAGCATTTACACCAGACATCCTACAAACATGTCTGAGCTGAAGCAGTTTTGTAAAGAGGAATGGACAAAAATTCTTCCTGAACGTTGTGCAGGTCTGATCCAGAGTTACCGAAAGCTCTTGCTTAAAGTCATTGAATCAAAGGAGGTTCGACCAGCTATTAACTCCAAGGGTTCACTTACTTCTTCCTCCAGCATTGTGAATGTTTTTTGGGGATGTTCAATAAAAACACGAGAAATCACAATTGTTTGTGTGTTATCAGCTTAAGCTTCTCTCTTTCATTTTCAAATCTTAACTGAACAAACTGAAGAGAGAAGCTGATTGGTTGCCATGGGCAACTGCTCCAGATTCTGTCTGCTCCAGTTTTGATAAATTCCCCTCATTATGTTTGTCTATTGTTGTGACTTAGATGAAGATCGGATCACGTTTTATGGAAAATTACTGCAGAAAACCAGTAAATTCCAAGGAGTTTACATACTTTTCTTGCCACTGTGTTTGCTTTGCAAACTTTTACAGCTATTTGTCTGCTTCTTGTTTTAAAGCCAAGGAAACTATTCCAGTAATAATATTTTACGTACTTTTACTATACAACAAATGCTATGTACGCAAAACTACTTAGTTATAGCTAAAAACTATATAAAATACAGACTGCTACAGTATGCATACATACACCCACATGCAAACGCTAATCTATACTTCTCTAGCACAAGTGTAGCACTCACCCCCGAAGGAGCCACTGAATATGAACTAGGGTTCTCCTACGCGTTTTGCTAGCCACCGGCCCCTTTCTTAGCTCCAGCAACACCGACACTCCGGAATAGAACAGGCTCGAGTCCTAGGGTCTTTTTAGCATTTATTGCACAGTATCAACTAGGAGAGAGGGTTTGGGATTGCAGGATACCCGAGCAACAATTTGGAGAACTCTGTCTTCTCCCTTAGCAACAGCTTGTATCAGTGGCACAATTGTCATGTAAGAGCGACCAGCAATATGAAGTAGCACAAAGAACAGCCAGGAAAAGTCCAGGACTTTGAAAGAGAACTGTCACTGGACTTGTAGCGCACCAACTGGCTTCTCTACAGTAAAGTACCTGAGAATAGGGTGAGGGATCTCTTACAGTGTTCCAGACGGTAGCTCTCACCAGGTCCTCTACGACACTCCTCGATAAGCAGATTCCACCTCCAGCCCAGCTTCCATCAGGTTCCTTTGCAGTAGCATCTAAGGTCTCTGGGCCCCCAGCATCTGCCACATACTGAGGCTCAGACCAGGCATCCAGTAACTGCTCCAGATTCTGTCTGCTCCAGTTTTGATAAATTCCCCTCATTATGTTTGTCTATTGTTGTGACTTAGATGAAGATCGGATCACGTTTTATGGAAAATTACTGCAGAAAACCAGTAAATTCCAAGGAGTTTACATACTTTTCTTGCCACTGTGTTTGCTTTGCAAACTTTTACAGCTATTTGTCTGCTTCTTGTTTTAAAGCCAAGGAAACTATTCCAGTAATAATATTTTACGTACTTTTACTATACAACAAATGCTATGTACGCAAAACTACTTAGTTATAGCTAAAAACTATATAAAATACAGACTGCTACAGTATGCATACATACACCCACATGCAAACGCTAATCTATACTTCTCTAGCACAAGTGTAGCACTCACCCCCGAAGGAGCCACTGAATATGAACTAGGGTTCTCCTACGCGTTTTGCTAGCCACCGGCCCCTTTCTTAGCTCCAGCAACACCGACACTCCGGAATAGAACAGGCTCGAGTCCTAGGGTCTTTTTAGCATTTATTGCACAGTATCAACTAGGAGAGAGGGTTTGGGATTGCAGGATACCCGAGCAACAATTTGGAGAACTCTGTCTTCTCCCTTAGCAACAGCTTGTATCAGTGGCACAATTGTCATGTAAGAGCGACCAGCAATATGAAGTAGCACAAAGAACAGCCAGGAAAAGTCCAGGACTTTGAAAGAGAACTGTCACTGGACTTGTAGCGCACCAACTGGCTTCTCTACAGTAAAGTACCTGAGAATAGGGTGAGGGATCTCTTACAGTGTTCCAGACGGTAGCTCTCACCAGGTCCTCTACGACACTCCTCGATAAGCAGATTCCACCTCCAGCCCAGCTTCCATCAGGTTCCTTTGCAGTAGCATCTAAGGTCTCTGGGCCCCCAGCATCTGCCACATACTGAGGCTCAGACCAGGCATCCAGTAGTATCTTAGGCCTCTAGGCCCCCAGCATCTGCCACATGCGGAGGCCTAGGCCAGGCATCTGTATTACACAGACCTCCTCCCAGGGAGGGCCCCAGGGGAGAGAGAGAGTTCTGGAAGGTGTCCCCAAACCTTTTATCACCTGCCTTCAGCCATACCTCTGAGTCAACCTGCTCAGGGATTGGTCAGAGTCAGATGCACAGTCACAGTCTGAGGATGGATCCTCCCTCAATCCACCAAACTCAGGGAATCCAGCAGAACTCAGAGCAAATCAGCATCTAGACTAATTTTTTATTTTATTTTATTCTTTATTTTATATTTTTTGAAAACAAACAACACAAAACATGAGAAGAAACTTTTACAGATAATTATCTTTACACAAATAAATTAAGACGTAAACGGACCTCTCAGGCCCAACCCTATGAGAATGATTAAACTGCGTAAATCAAGACAAGGACACAAACAAATAAACCAAAAAAAACGAAATAATAATTACACGTATGCATATGTATGCATTTACATACATACATACATACATACAATATAAGTCCTTCTTTGCCCCATAGTCACTATCCCGAGTCTCGTCTTATTGCGATATATTTAGGTGAATTTATAAACTCCCTCCAAGGAAGCCAAGTTTTCCGGAAACTATCGGAGGTGTTTTTAATAGAGCTCGTAAGGTCTTTCATAATGTAAATTTCTTGAATGCGATCTAACCATTGAAATATATTAGGTAGTTCCAGTCTCTTCCACAAGGCTGGGATACAGGCGCGTGCTGCATTAACCAAATGCCTTACAACTGAGCGTGTATAAGCTTTCATTGAAATAGAACTGTGTTGGAGTAGAAAGAAGTCTGGGTCTCTTGGAATTGGAATCTCAGAGAATCTTTGGGTCATCGCCTGAACCTCGTCCCAAAACTTCTGTAATAACGAACAAGACCAAAATACATGCTGCATATCTACTTTTGGGTTCCCGCATCGCCAACAACAGTCAGAAGACTGTGGAAACATAGCATGTAGCTTCTGCGGGGTCCTGTACCACCTCGAAACAATTTTATAACCCAGTTCTTGGTATTTATTACATATAGAGGATTGGAAAGATAGGGATAGTAATTTTTTACGTGCTTCCGGGGATAACTTTATATGTAAATCTTCCTCCCACTTTATCAAAAACCACGGGGAGGATGTCATTTTTTTCCCAACCAAGAGCCTATAACACAATGAGAGGGCATGCCGCATTGAACCTGTCTGGACACATTCGTGTTCAAATGCAGTCAGTGGTCTATCAAATCGTCTAGCTTATGGTAAAGAATTTAAAAAATGGGACAATTGTATTGTTTGCCAATAAGTTAAACTGGCATAGCTGGAATGTGTTTGTAAAATAGTCTCTGAAGGCCATTCCAAAGCCTCCAGAAAATTAAGAGCTCTAAACTTTCCAGCTTTCCTTAGTAACTTAACCTCCCTGGTGGTATTCCCGAGTGTAGCTCGGGGTTACTTTTCCATACCATAAGCGGTAACCCCGAGCTACACTTGGGAAAGCGGCAGGATATTTAAAAAAATAAATTTAAAAAAACGACAAAGACGAAAAAACATTCGAAGAAAAATAGACCGAAAAATGACATGAAAAAAATTAAAAATCATACCGCCAGGGAGGTTAAATACCCCATCCCAGAGTCCCGGTAAGAAAGCAAGGTTCCCTCAAATAGGAATTAGAGGTGATGGATCTGATGACAATGTTCCTTGTAAAAAAACAATTTTAGTTACTGTCAAAGTAGGCATAATAGTTGGATGATTTTTAATCTCCTTCGGAATTAAGGCAGAAACATAGCACCATGGAAGACCAGATAATGGAGCTACAGAGTATGATTGTTCCATTTCAATCCAGAGCTTAGCGGTATTATGACGGCCCCAATACAAAATACGGGTCAAATGGACTGCATTACAGTCCAGATATACACTAAATTTAGTAGCGACATAGCAGAGGGCGCTACACAAGCAATGATTTCTATAGGAGGATACACTAAAAAGTCCCTAAGCTTCAGTTGTCAGTGGTCTACAAATTCCTTATTGAACAGGACTTCCTGTCGATTAATTGTTCTCAGGAAAATTGCTTGTTGTTGCAGTCTCTTTCTCTCATCTTTATCCTAGTTGCTCCTATTCACTCACATGAGAAATCCATGATTAGTCCAAAGAACACAATCATATCTTTCTAGCACCAGTGATTGGATAGCAACTGAAGTCTCTTTGAAACTGCCATAAATATATATATATATATATAGCGCCACAGTCTCAGTGATCACACAGAGCAGATGAACGTCCGTTCTTCGTCTGCTCTAGGGGCTTTATAGTGATCTCCTATGCCATGGTCACGAGGAACGGGGGACCCCGAAAACCATGGCGGGGGGGCCTGGACTCGATCGCCGCCGCTGCTCGGTTTTAATACCGTGTTTCCCCGAAAGTAAGACCTACCCCGAAAATAAGACCTAGCACTATCTTCAGGGATTTCTGTAATATAAGACCTTCCCCGAAAATAAGACCTAGTTCAGTGGTAGGTCTTATATTACAGAGATCCGCTAGGTCTTACTTTCGGGGTAGCGGCACATAAACTGTGTAAAAACCGGCCGCAGCTCCCGCCCCGCCCACACGCCCGCCCACACGCCAGCCTGCCGCAGCTCCAGTTATACACTGCCAATTTATCACACTTACTATTTTAGAACCTTTATTGTTTTATGGGTCTTTGATGTAGTTTGAAAGCATTAATATCAGGCAAATATGTATTGATAGATCCTGTAGGAATTTGTAGGTACATCCCTAATTAAAATATAAAACAGCCAATTAAATTGGTAATCTAAAAAATGGTAATTACTTTTTTTTGCAGCCATCAATTGACCATGGGGAGAACATCTTCACCACATACTTACTTCCAGTTCTTCACTCTTCAATACTCTCACAAAAGGTACTATCTTATGTTTTTTTAACTGTTAATATGTTTACATTTATGGAAAATTAAAAATTTATAAAATAATAACTCTTTAACCTAGAACATTAACAAAGTTGAAAAAAGCAATATACGAAAGAGAAATATTTAAAGCTCCATAATCTGCACATAAGAGATCTTGCCCACTGAGGGGAGTTTATTAAAACTGCTGCAGACCAAATCTTAAGCAGCTGTGCATGGCAACCAATCAGCTTCTCTCTTTCATTTTCAAAGCTTTAGGGCTTGTTCACACGATTTTCCGGTCCAGATATGATGCAGATCTGCAGATGCAGTGCTATGCGTGCAGTGCGTTTTTAATGCGTTTTTTACCACGTTACAGTTTTTTTTGTCGGAGTAGGGCTGTCAGTATGTTAGCTGCAGTGCGTTTTCGGCACATTTGTGCGTTTCCGGACTGTATACGGAACCGGACAAAATGTAACATGCAGTATTTTCTCTGTCCGGAACGGACGGCGCACGTGAGAATTGTAGCCCGTAAAAAACATAGGGATACATTGGGATGCATTTTGGGTGCTGGAGCGCACGGTTCTGGTCCATACACAATCCGGACGTCGTGTGAACAAGCCCTAAATGAGCAAGCTGAAAAGATAGCTGATTGGTTACTATGTGCAACTGCTCCAGATTCTGTTTGCTCCAGTTTTGACGAATCCCCCCACTGTATTTTACAATAGTTGCAATTAGGGAACAATCTAGATGCTATATACTTTGCACATATAAAATATTGTCTATGCAATACTGAACTACAGTAGTTACTATGTGTGTTTGAACTGTAGGAGAGGTTTGGGTTCATTTTGCTGCCTTGGTCACAATTAGGGATGACCTCAGGTTTGGACTGAACATGATCCGAACCTAAGCTCCTCCAGACACAGAAGGAGTTCCTACAAGCATGGATGGAAGTTCCCTTCACTGCCGCCAAATCAGCTGTGGCCAGGGAAAGGGGTGGGGCAGGTTGCAGTGAGGTCATTAACCTTATATGGCTACCTGCCCCTTTTGTTTGTGTGCAGCTTCTTGCCTGGCCAGGTAGGGGATCTAAACACCTGGTCTTCAAGCAGTTAAAAGTGGGCTTTTGTTACTGAGTGAAAAAACACTGTGCACCTAAACCAACTTACATTATATCTGTCTCATTCAACACACCCCCTGTCCCCATTGATAAAACAAAAGTTAGCAATACACCAGTAATACCTAATATTCCTGATTAAAACGATCCTGCTGCTGGCCAGTTCTGCATTGCTGTATCCCCTGCAATAGCTTAATTCCTTTTTGCTTTTTGTCTCTAACAAATCTAGGCCTAAATTTGATATTTACATTTTTCTTGCTGCTGGCCAATTACTCTGCCATGTCATCTGTGGTACTATGAGGTGAGTGAAAAGCACTCACCTCATAGTTCTCCTTTAATTCTTGTGGTAAAACACCTGCCTGTACTATTTGTCTCTAGTACATTTAGGCCACTGTTCACTCAATTCTACTTTGGTGCAACAGGACCAACAGGCTAAGATAGGAACTTAAACAAGTTCTTAGAAGAACTTAGAATCTAGGGCCAGGCAGAAAACCCGTGCCAGGCATGTGACAAAAACGGAGGCTCACTAGTTTCATACCAATTTGCTGGTGGAAGTTCAGGCTGGACAGCAGGTGAGAGGTCAGCAGAGTCAGCCTGCAGGATCGTGAAAGCTGAATTGGGGTATAACAGGTGCTAGTGTGACCAGATATGTGGAAACTACAAAAAGAGACAAACCTAAGCAAAATAATATAAATTATTATACAGTAGATGCACTTAAAGACTTAACCCTTAAACTGCAGCCTGAAATTAAACATTTGGCATGTAAAATTACCCTAATAAATAATATCTAATGATAACTACTGATCAAATTAGTTCAGGCAAGTCACCCTCTCAATACACCAGTTTGTTACCATTTAAAGTACATCCAAAACATTCATAATAACAAAATATACTTGAGAGCCATCATAAAAAAATTATTTTATAAAATCAACCTCGTGGTTAGGAACCCTATAATTCATGCATGATGTCTAGTGTCCAAAACAATTATAGTAAAAGCACCTAGACTTGGTTTAAATGACAATAAGAGAATAAGAGAGCAAAAGATATTTAGATTTGCAAGGACAAACACCCATCATATTAGTGGCAAAATTTGCCAAACATGATTTTTGTCAAGAAATTAGTTGGTTCTTGGTTCAGCAAACTCTTAGTGAATAAAAATAGTAAATATCACACATATTTACAGATTCTCCGCTCCGCCATCCTGAAAGTGACAGGAGTGGCTCGGCCACGCAAAGAGCCACTCGGCCAACCTGGATTTGACAGCCGGCGGCTTTGCAATCTTCTCCCCGCTCATCCATCCTGATGACAGTGCTCTGTCCTCCACCCCATGCTGGTGCTCCATTTCTCCTCAGATCCCCGCTACCTCTGCCCACACAGGCGGGGGAGAGCAGCAGGGATCCGAGGAGAAGCTACAGACTGTGCCACCCCTCTACTCCCTGCCCCCCTGGGGCCGTGGCCTTGAGGGTAATCCAGACCTACCTGCAGCTTGTGTCATAGCGAGCTGTGTTGGCTGCCTAGCGCCCCTGTTGTCATGGCGCCCTATGCGGCCACACAGCTTGCACACCCCAAAGACTGGCCTTGACTACTTCACTGCTTTATAGGAAAACATATTTATATCTGTAGTTCAACTTGAAGTTAATATCTGTGAGTAATTGCATAAGACTGCTCTTTGCAACATGTTGTTAAATAAAGACATACAGTATAAAATGTGGCAATGAAGATTTTTATCCGATCTTGATTAAAAAAAAATTGTCTACTTTACAATAAACACCGTAAAATATTTTTCTATAGGATCCTAAACGAGAGTATGAAGTCATTGCTAAATATTCAGACTTTTTAAAATACACCGGAATTATAGACTTGTTTATCCAGCTTGACAAATGGGTTTTGTCAAAACAAAAATCCAGCTTTGATCAGGTGAGTAAGTATTTTGAGTGTTATACCTACATGTGGCAATGACT